TTCGAAAAGTTTAGGAAAAAATCGAAATTCCCAAAAAAACGCCGCTGAAATTGAAATTTTTGCTCAATAAGGTGGCAAATATGGACGAGGATTGGAATTCCCGCAAAGTGAGAAACCTAGGCCACGGCTGCGGGACTCCTTTTTTACATCTCCATTTTTTCGGATTTTTTCCGTTTTTCTGTCTGATAAAGAATGAAAAAAAGCCACTGTCGGTCACATAAAAAAGACTTCCCGTCGATGTGGCCTAGGTTTCTCACTGCGCGGGTTTCAAGGGCGTTTTTTGAGGATTTCGGATTTTTTTTGGTTTAACATTCGGAAAATACATCACTTTTCAAAGATTTTAAATTAAAAAAAAAAGAAAAATTTTCTTCAATAAATCAGTTAAATTACAGTTCCAAACCACTAGACCCTCCCCTCGGACCGAAAATGACATCTATGCTAAAAAACTAACATCAATTCTATGTGACCAATTGAAGCTAGATTCATCCCGCATATTTATTTCATTTGATTTCCGAGATGCCAAAAGTTTTGCTACCCAAGGGAAAACAATCGCTTCGTTGTATGAATAAATTTTTTATCAATTTTTTTGTTTTGGAAAAAATGGATTTTTCAATGAAGGAAACATAGAAAATGAAAGAAAAGAAATACAGTTAAAGTTGAGATTTATTGAATTCAAGAAAATTGTTAGTGTTAAATAAAGTTATGCTATAAATGAATAATGACTAGAAATTTTGGAAGGGGAATGTGGAATAGACAAATCACACACTATATAAGTTACAGAAGCATTTAGAGTAGAAAATAGGGGAAAATAAGAAATTTTATTGAGGTTGCTGTTGGATGTTGGTGAGCTTGGACTCTGAAAATATTGGCTTTTTGTTTTTGAAATTGAATAACGGCTACTAACCAAGTTGGGAGACATAATTCTCCAACACTGCTGTCGCTTCCTCCAATCTACGAGTACTCTCATCCATTGCATCGATTTGAGTCAAGTATGGACGCAAGTTCTCATCTGAAACAATATCGTTTTTGATCTTGAAGGTGGAGTACGGTAACCATTTTTTTGCCATATTTCGTGCAGAAAATCATGTAGATTCACATTTGAAATGAAGAAAAAATTCAAAAAAAATGTTCTTCATGAGAAAGACCGCATCGAAAAAGCTTTTTTTCTTGATTTTCATTGTTTTTCAGATTTTTTAGGTTTTTCAAGATTTCTGTTCATTTTTCTCCCATATATCTCGAAAAACTCTTAAAAACCGGAAGAAACAAAAACTGAAAATTCCGAAAAGTTAGTGGGTTTTCTCGATTTTCTTGCCAAATTTGTAGACCTTTTTAAGTTTTTCAGTTATTTTTGAAGATACTTTTTCGATTTTTCTGATTTATTTTTGAGCGGAAATTCTACTGGATCCGGGCTAGTCGGTCCAATTCGAAAGAAACTCAGTTAATCGATTTTAGGGTTTTTTGGTACAAAAAATCCAAAGGTCTCACAACCACAACTACAGTAACCTGAAAATACTATCATTATAAAAAAAATTTGAAAAATAAAAATATTCTTAAGTTACT